GCCTTTAAATGTGGTTTTACATTAGAGGGTGTGTTGTATAGAAAAGACTGCAGTGGGATAATACAACCAGTAAATTAGAAATTGCCATTGCTTTAAGAATGTAACATTTCTGCTTGTCAACTGTTTCATACTTATTGCCATGAGAGCAACAGATAAATAATACAGCATAAATGATCTGTTGCTAAAATGTACACAGAGGTACCCAGTAAGATGTTGTGGAAGTGTACAGCAAATTATTTATAAATTCCTTCTGGCCCTAGTCCAGAGGCAATGAATCCTAGTTAAGGCTTTTAATTCAGCACCTGTAAAAGCAATCTCCGTTGAAGCTAGTGGGATTTACTCCTGAGTAAACAAGTATACCGTTTTGCAACCAACCCATTTATTTCAGTGAGATTTACCATTCATTATCTGGATTAGGGGCAAATCTGGATTTCAAGAAAATCCAACTGAATCAATAGTAATAATTGTTTGTACTCAAGTTTTTTTCAAGTGAATCATTATTGCCTGGGAGAAGTGCCCCCCTCTTTTTTTAACCTATGTGAGAGAAGATGTACAAACACCTTTTTTAAGAATCCGTGAAATATTTTATTTTTGAACCAAGAGTTTCTGAGAGGAAAGACATGATCTCTAATATACCAAAGACTGTGTCATATAACATGTTTGATGTATGGTCCTGCGGATTGTTTCTGCCCTTCGCTTCATGAAGGAGCCATCTTGCATCTCTGTCCGGGACAAAAGCCAGATCGGGTGTGCTGCTCTCCAGTTTTGGAAGGAACCCAGGCTGGTGCTCTTGCAAGGAACAACACACTCCCTCAGAGCTGGCTACGTCTCAGACTAGTGAGAGGTAGACATTAAGGAATCATTGCCAACTGGGAAGTCACAGCAATAATTGGCACCCCAAAATCTTGACTGCAGGCACCGTGGCCATCCTGCCATCATTTTTAGATGCTCTGTGGCATCAGAGTTTAATATAGTGTGCTTACTTGTATTGCTATGTCAGTAATTTGTTCTACAGAAATTTATGGAAATTATATTTATTGATTAAAACATTGGACTTTTAACCAGCTTGGCCTCTTTATTGTCGGAGAATTAATTGCAGGTTAAGTGAGCCCTGCGTAGCCTCTGTGCACAGACAGAAGAAGTAAAGGAAGGAACGGGAGAGATGACGTATCTGCCACCTTCAGTTGGATAGCTCGCAACCCTGAGTGTTTCAACAGGCAGAAAGCACCGTATTTTTCCATGTATAAGATGCCCCCATGTATAAGACGCCCCCCTATTTTTCTAGCCCAAAATTAAGAAATCTAAGTGGGGCTTAGCAAGTGTAGAGGGAAAGGGATCAAAGCGCTACAGGATCACTTTGATCCCTGCTTTCTCCCTTCGTGCTAAGCCCCACAGGGCGTAGCAAAAGGAGGGGGAAAGGGATCAAAGCAATCCTGTGATTGCATGATCGTTTTGATCCCTTTCTCCCTTATACATCCAAGGGATTTGATCTTTTCCCATCTTCGTTTTGCTAAACCCCATGGGATTTAGCAAGCAGAGGGGAAAGCAGGGATCAAAGATATCCTGCAGCGCTTTGATCCCTGCTTTCCTTTTGCTACGGCTTAGCAAGTGGAGGGGAAAGCAGGGATCGACTCCCTGCAAGATCACTTTGATCCTTGCTTTCCATTTCACTTGTTTTTGTTCTCTCCTCAACTTCCCTGTATAAGACAACCCTCAATTTTTTGTCTAAAGATTTTAGACAAAAGTATGGTCTTATACATGGAAAAAATACGGTATGTTCTGTCTAGTAAGTAACTCAGCTCTCTGAATGATCTTCATTTGGTCCCACAGTGCTCTGCAGAAAGCTATATCCAAGTGGAAGGATGCTTCTCCCTTCCCTGGCCAATTAAATTCTGAAATAAATGTATAGGGATAGGTTTATACACAGATGCACACTTTATTTCCAGTCTTTCCCCAGCAAGGTTCCGGAAACAATCACTAGCATCATTAAAGCGTGATTCAAAATACAAGCACCTGCAGTTGCTGTGAATTTATGGAGAGCTAGCCTGTTTTTTGTTTTGAATATATAACTCTCCATCCAGCTAAAATGCACGACCTGTCAGAAACCACAGACACAAATGGGAAGCAGATCTGGCAGGTTACCTATCGGTGAGGATAGGTAAATGTAAGATCTGTGTATAGACTGGGGCAACCACTAGTTTTATGAGGATGAGGTCCAAAAGAAGGGTTGGTAGTGGATACGCAAAGTTCCTCTTCTCACGCTGCTTGTGCAAGGAGGAATTCCCCAACTCTATGTACAAACACAACACCCCTCTCTTTTTCTGCAATGGAGTGACCATTACAAGTCAGAGATGGCAAGAGCAACAGAGAACGCTCTGGATGTCAACGTCTTGTGCTCCATATTTATGGACCGCATTCTGCCCTGTGTCTAAGGTGCTACAAGATCCATGTTGTTTTTTCCACAGAAGTAGTCTTGGGAGCATTCACTCTCTGCAGGTGGCACTGTGTGAGGGCCAGTGTAACATCTAGGAAAGCAAAAAAGGCTTTTTATGAATTAACATCTGGTCCAAAGGCAAACACGTCATAACAGCTGCAATCGCCAGGGTCTGTCTGTCTGTCTGTCTGTATTCATTCCTTTTATGAATTAGCATCTGGTCCAAAGCCAAACACATCATGACAACTGCAATCGCCAGGGTCTGTCTGTCTTGTCTTTGTCTGTCTGTCTGTCTGTCTTTATTCATTCATTCATTCTATTTATATCCTGCCTATCTGGTCCTGCGACCACTCTAGGCGGCAAGACAGGAAGACAAGACCTTTAGGAAACCACAGCTACATAAAGCAGTGGTTCCCAAACTTGGGCCTCCAGATGTTCTTGAGCTACAACTCCCAGAAACCTTCACCACCATCTCTGCTGGCCAAGATTTCTGGGAGTTGAAGTCCAAGAACATCTGGAGGCCCAAGGTTGGGGACCACTGGCATAAAGATATTCCTGAGAGCTACACCCTCGTCAACTCAGATAATACACCAAAGGACTACATGGGTACCAAGTGTGATCTTAAAGTCCCCACACGTGCACTTTGGTGTCCCCCTGGTGCCAGGGTGCTTCAGAATCATGACCCTGAAGACCTTAGCCGAGAGTCCAGAGCAAGTGCAGCTACTCCTCTAAGATAGAGAGAGCTCTTCATGTTTCATCAAAATGGGTTGTACAGCAACTGGATCTAATTTTTAACTATTGTTTATCTAAGCCCTTACAGGTATGCATGTGAGATAGAGCTCTTCGTGTTTCATCAAAATGGGTTATACAGCAACTGGACCTAATTTTTAACTATCGTTTATCTAAGCCCTTACAGGTATGCATGTACAGTGGATATGTACAATATAGCTTAAATTTTACAAAGGCAGAACTAAGGCCAAAGCCCTATGGATTGCCCTTCGGGTCATCCCTATGTTGCTAAATTGCTACTCTCTCCTTCTTTGGTTGATGCACATAATATGTCACACTGGTGTGTACCTCTTGGAATCCGCTGGTCTTCTCAGAGGATTCTAGTCCATTTGGTTCCTCCAAAAGTCATTGGAGAGAGCTGGGCAGTAGTCGCACGCTCCTCAGCTATTTTTGCTTCTTCAGTAGGATGGTCCTCCAGATAGCATATACTGCTTTGATGTTATGCACCATCTAGTAGTTTCCAACTTCTGGTGCCTCTATGATTTCATTACCTCCAAAAGGGCCTGTCAGTAACAATCCTGCTCAGGTCTTGTAAACTAAAAGCCTTGGGGTACCTATGAGGTAGTCCATTAGATGATGTGGGAATTAGCAAACTGGTGATTTTCCCATTCATGTCACTAATCATTTTGAGAATGTAAGCGTTAACAGTCCTTGCATTGGAAGATAATATTGGTGATTCAGCTTTGGTTTGGGCTGCTGATGTTTATGCACCATCTGGGCTGCATCTCTGGATGCCAAACATGAGTGCTTTGGATTGCTTTCCATGGGAACAGGCCTTTTCCATCTATAAGGAAGGAGGCTCTCTGCTCCTCCTTGTCCCCAGTTTTTAGGAGTTCCAGACATGCAGAGAAACTTATGTTATGAAAGTCATTGTTAGCCCCTTGGGTTTTTGGTCTTCTTCTCTGGCAAGAAGCAAGTAATGGCCAAAACACTTACACCCCAAGGAATAACATCTGGAATAACATACAGGGGGTCCATCCAACTTGATGAAAACACGCAGCATATATAATTAGCATGGGCTGCATTCCTCTACCATCACTATTTGTAATAAATTCTGTTTTACACCAATGACTTGTATTTTCCCCCAAAGCAATTTTAAATGTGTACATACTGAGGTTTTCTGTAAGTGGCCAAGTTAAAGACAGATAGTTTCCTGGTTTTGTATGTTTTTCCTCAGTACCTCTTGTGGTGCTGGTTTATTGGGAGTAAGAATGTACTGCATTTATTTATTCCCCCCCCCATCTTTCTCCTTACAATAGGACCCAGCTTTAGGCTGTAATACCCTGGGTATTTCTTCTCACACCCTTCTGCCTTTGTCCAGTCCTCCACTAGAAGGCAGTCCGCACAGACCCTGGTTTGTAAGGTCTGAAATGATATTGACACAAATGTCTTGTTCAAGAAATGGCCTACAAAAATACATGTTTGAAATAGAGAATGGGTGAGAACGCCCTTTTGTTTAATAATCGTGTTGTCAGGTCAATTCTGACTTACGGTGACCCTTTTCAGGGGTTTCTAGATAGAGAATAATCAGTCGTAGTTTCCTATTCCCTTCTTCTGGAGCTATCCTAAGACTGTGCCACTACTCGCCCAAGGCAACACAGGCTGACGTTACTTGCAGGAGGCAACAAAATTCCCAACTTCTGATTCTGCAACTAGATATTTAAACCACCAAGCTACCTAGCCAGCTGTGTTTTTTTGTTTATAAGTATAGAGGCAAGATTATATATATAATACAGTAGATATACAAAATCTCCTTTAGAGTGATATCACAGTACAATTGTGAAGAAATAAGTTACTTTATTTAACAAGTTGTTTCAAGAGTCATATATTGTAGGCTTTGGACCAACCACATTAAACATGGAGGTACAAAAGTCAGAATTTTCAAACCAATGCATCATAGCTAGGAATAAATTCCTCTGCTGTGCAAACCACAATCTTTACAGTACATAGCAAACATGATGCTGTTGCTCTCGTCTCCTTCCTTGTCATGTTTTTCTAAAAATATTTAAAAAAACTTTTTAAATCAAATAATCCATGAAAAGTTTCCACCATGACAAATCGGCCAGAGCTTTATTGCCTCTGGTTTAGAGGAGTGACCATTTAACTTACAGACCAATGCCAATTGCAAGACTGAAATAAAATCTTAATTCTCAAGGGTTCTGTGTCGTTGGATAGTTTTAGCCCATATATTAGGGTTTCACATTTTTGTAAGTATTCACTCCTTTTTCTCATGTTTGACAAAGAAGAAAAAGGGGAAGCCTACTGCCAGTTCAAAGCTTGGATTGTTTTTATTAATAAAATCAACCTAAAAAGGTATTGAATTCACAACTTTTAAATAAAATATGTTCTCACACACATACATATGGGCATACATGTCTGAGCACTTCTGAGTCTTTCCTGGAACCAGGCATTTACATTCAGAAGGAAACCATCATCTGGCCAAGTACTTCTGCATCTACACTCAGTCCAGTCAAGCATGGCTTTGATAGCACACACGCTACTGAAGATAGGGGCCAGCTTGTGCCTGGAAGGGACTGAACCCTTTCCTTAAAAACACAAAGATGTAATCACACAAATAACTTTCGTTTCTTTGCTACTTAAGACAGCAATGCATTATGTAATGTAGTTTTATAATTACACAGTAATTATAAATTGTGTAGTACCAAAATGATGGCAAGATCCATTTTGTTGAAAAGGCCTCAACACTGCAAAAGGAATAACCTTAAAAAAAAAAACAAGAACAGCTTGGCATTTATGCCCCAAATCTCTGCACAGGGATAGAATTCAGTACATCTCATTAAAACTCAAAAGAACAAGACAGCCAACACAAAAAATACACAGCATACATCAAATGACTCATTCTGAGAAAGTTGTACCCAAAATTTTCATAAGACAAAAGAGCACACACACGCCTTGTGGAATTTTCATAATTCAAGTCTCCATTGATATTTACACAAGAGAGAGAAAAGAACAAATGAGTAAATCAATATATTTGACTTTGCCAGTTGCAGCAGCTGAAGAGAGATTCTCAGTTTCATCCAGTGGTTTCCTAAATTAATACAAGCAGAATGTTTTTCAAAAGGGCACTGCTAGGAAACAGGGAGGCACCTTTCTGACAACCTCGCGCAAATTTTGAAATAAAAGCTTAACAATTTAATACTTAAGGTTGCTTTCTAAAATTGTATTTGTACGTGTGTACCTAATTAATTGCATGTGGGGGAAATGAACCATCCATCATGAGACACTACTTAATGCCAGATCTGAGTGTCTCATTCCTGAATATTAAAAGAGGATTTTTAAACAACCTGGACGGGAAATTTCCTGTTACCTCTGTGAAATGATCGTTTTTTTAAAAAAGGAGGAACTTGACAACAACAAAAACTACTACTGATGAAGTTAAAATGGCATTACAGCTAGAAGGCATTTTGGATGCTTCTGTCATATAAAAACACAATAAAACCACACTTCAAAGTAAACAGCTGGATTTTGTGCATTGGACACAAATGTAGTGGCAAACTAAACACACAGCGGCCCAGTACAAATGCAACTTTTCCCAGTCCTTTAATCGTAGTTGAAAGACTGAGAGATCTCCAAGGCCAATTCTTCCTCTTACTAAAGTTCAACTATGTCACATAGTGTGACATCTGGGCCAAGGCTGACATGAATCAAGCTGTGTGGAAATGAGTCCCTCATTTTAAGACTCAATCCCAATTTAAAGGTAACCATAGTTAGCATTAACCTTTGTGGAAATCTAAAGCCAAAGGTAATTTAGGCTGAAAACAGAAATCTCCAGGATGCTCACAATATTTTAAACATTGTTAAGGAGATTGATCAACATTACACCTGCACTGGGGCTGGCTCTTATCCAGCCAAAGTTAAGCACATGGTTCCACCGAAGTCAATGGAAGAGTCAAGGACAAACTTAAGTCTGTCCCACTGTAAGTGCTTCATCAGTTTAATTGGATTGTGCTGGATATAATTTATACACTTGGGAAAGATGGATTTCTAAATTCTGGCTCAAACTCTGGGACAGGAGCTTCACTAAAGCAAAATCTCCACTGTTAACAATACAGCCATGCTGTCACTGATACTATTATGTATGAGGAACCCTTGTACACATAGCTTTCCATCTATACCAGGGGTGGGTGTTCTGTGGCCCTCTGCTGAATTCCTCATCATATATCACGCCTGCAGTCCTATATGCCCACTCCTGAAGTATATACAGTACTAGAGCCTCATTAAACTTCTAGTGCCTCCCTTTGGCAGCTACAAAGGGAGGCAGTTAAGAGAATAACAGATTCACCCATCACTGATGAATGACACTATCATAGAAGTACCACCAACATCATAAAGATTTGTATTGCATCGCTCAAGTCATCATGCCTGCAAAATTTGTTATCACACTCATTGTTATTTCATACCCACAATCAAAATCCTTCCTTAACCCTAATCAAGAATTTTACATTGTGAAACAAACATTAAAAATTCCGCACAGTGTTCAAGCCTTAACATTTCAGCAGAACTGAACTAGGAATAATGGACAGGGATTTCCTCAACAGGAAGATGAGCTTTTTTAATGCCACAAAATTTTATTGCTCTAGGAGCATTTGTGAGCAGCCTATTATCTACGTTTTAAATTAAACCTGCTGATCCTTATTTTGTAATGTTGCCTTCATTGGATATAAGAAACAGCTTGGCCAACTTCACCCTAGCTCTGTCCACCTTGAAACAGTTAACGAACATTTTTGAAAAGGCGCAGCTAAGAGTTATACGATAGACACTGCACAACCCAACAAACCCCAAGGAGTGTTGAAGAAATAGGCCCCGAAATTCCTGAAATTCTTGACAACCACCAGACAAGAGTATGATGCAATGAAATTCTGAGGCAGGCTACCGAGATGTTAGGTTGTTATCAGTTGACATGGACACAGGCATTCCAGATTCAACCTGTTTCCATTTGATACATCATATGCGATATTGTAAAGAAATACGGTGATCAGGGCCAAAGTGCTGGTGGACGTAGGAAGCCACACTTAGAGTGAGAAAAGAAGTGGACACTCCAGGTTCCTCACCTGGCCCAGGTAGTGGAGTCCTAAAGGAGGATCCAACACTCAACAAGAGGCACCCAGTGTTTCTGACTCAATTATTAAAATGCAAGCACCTCTGAAAGTGCTCAGTATCAGTGCTGCATTTCCACAGCATCCAGTCAAGCACCTGTACAACTAGGTAGCCTGATGTTGAGCAGAGGGAAAAATCCAGGGCTTGGTTTTGACAATTGCTCTGAATAAGAGCAAAGAAAATAACATGTCACTCACACTGACAATAGCTGTAAACAGAGGATAAGGAAACCACGTATCATTGTTCTTGGATCGTCTCAACGTAGTCTTTGCAGCTAGCCCAAAAGAATGTTACTTGAAGATCTTTCCTTCTTTTTAAAAATAAAACAACCAAGTTGCAATGCTGACCTTTGAAGCTTTAGGTGGAACCAGAAATTTCAAAAGAACCATCCAAAAACATTTAACGTTTATGGAAAGTGGTTTGGGTGCTCCATTAAAAAAAAAAGAAAAAGGATGAGATCCGTTATGCTGGAGTTTTCAGATGGGCAAGGATGGCTCAGGCTAGGAGAGAAGCCCAAATCACCCATGGTCTGATATGGTCCAAGGTCTATCCTTAAAAGCTTGCCTCAACCCTCAGCCTTTATTTCTTGAGGATTGGTCTTCAGTCCTGTTCAGCCAGTCGTCAGAAATTGACTGCGCAGTTTTTCCCCATTATGTTTATTTGTACAGACTATGTACATTCTAGATGGTTCATTTAGCACTACACTGTTGTACTTTTTATTCCAGCAATCTGAGGGCGTGCAAATTCCACGAAGTCATCAATAAGAACTGGCCATGCTCCTAGGAGAAAAAAGGACCGAGAGAGAAGGTGAATTATTAACCCTTCGCAAAGCTTCCAAGAAATGGAGAAAAACCCAGAAAAACAAGCATTTAGACAGCACATTTCAAGTGTTCAGAGCACTTCTCATACATTATCTAAATAATCCTAAAAAGGGCCCTGCAACTTAGACCTTATTGTTTGGGATGTCTCCTGTATGAAGAGACTCTAAGGCTAAGCTCTCATCATTGCATGTGTTTACTTAATTCAACACCTGAATAGAGATTCTCCTACCTCCCAATCAGTCCCAATTTATTCTAACATTTATCTAAATGCTCTTCAAAAAATACTAATCCCTCCAACTCTTTACAGTCCTGTCCAGCAGAAATTTGGTGGCAAGATACCAATAACCAATCTTCTCATCTGTTGGAATCCATTCCGGATGTTCTTTTCTTTCTTGTACCTCCCTCTGGTCTTTAGTCTTTTGGAAAACAACCTGCCTTAGTGCCTAGAACTAGCTGGAGTTGGACTATGAAGTTTCTTTTTTCCCTTTGGCACATGTAGAATAGAGAAGGAAAGGGAAAACACACAAATTGAGACCCTGCCATTTACTGCTGAATAAACTGCAGACACCAAGTCTGGAGAAAGGAGCAGGGCAGGAAATGATATGAAGGAACATCATTTTAAAAATATAAATTAATTTCAATCAACTGGGGAGGGGCATGAAAGGATATGTGTCTCAACAGTGGTTGCTAATAAGGCAACCAGATTTACCTAATACAGAAAAAATATTCAACAGAAGACACAGGGTCAGGATTTTCCCTCTCTTTCTGTCTTCTGTAAAGATCAAAATACAACAGCTACTTCCATCTAGAGGCTGCTCACCTCTAGAATAACCACGGCTGCACGTCATGGTCAGCCTCTGTGACAATGATCACTCTGATTGTTGACTCCTGGATTGTGCCCAGTATCTGCACAAAAGGAGTGGCTTTATTTTCAAAGGCTGGATAAACAACTCTCTGTTGCAGGCTCACTGTGCCCTTCACAATTAAAACAAAGCATCTCAGAGTACCAGCAAATGAACAAATACAAAAGAAGGCTACCAGGAAAGTACCGAAGGTTCTGGCAGCATAAACTGGGCAAAAGCAGAACCGCTTGGGGAAGAAGCCTCCCTGAAGGGCTGGTGCGAAAGAGAGGTGCCCTTGCACAAATAGATCAGCTACGGATCAGACAGCGATGTTACCTTCCTCGTCATAATTTGACATGTCATCTGCTATCATCGCACTGAAATCTAGCAGGAGGTTCCAGGTATCCTTCGGTATAGACCTTTTATGATGTTCCTGTTTAAGGGAAATCACACTATCAGAAACAGATACATCGCTGTGTCCGCATGACCCCCATGGACATGGAGGCTGTAGCTCCATGAAAAGCAGAGGGATCCTGTAGAGACCACCATTTCCCTGTCATCCCTTGCCACAGCCACACTGGGCCCAGAAACACAGAGGGGAGACCTGAAATTTTGGATTTGGTTTATATAACACCTGTTGTCGTAAGCATGGCTCAGGGTGGTTAGAAGCAACTAGATATCTAATTCCAGCACTGACTTGGGAAGGCCACAAAGGTAGTCTTGGGGGGGCCACATGTTCACCTCTGCCATACAACATGGCACAAATCAACCCCAAGCATTTCCATTTACACAGTTCTAAGGCAGCATTTCCGTCTAGGACCTTGGGAGAGCTACTACCAATTGATCAAGGTTGGTAAAATGAGTGACCAGCTCGCTGGGGGATAAAGTGCTGTTTGCATAATTATGTTGTAAACTGTCCAGAGTGTGCTTCAGTACTATGAGGTAGTATGTAAGTCAAAACAACAACAACAATCAGCATAAGTTGTACTGGGTAAGATGGGCCGAGCAAGGAAGTTCTCCTTGGAAAGAGAATGAATTGAAGCCTGGTTTAGCCATGAAGGTCTCCCAACTTCGAGCTTACTCTTTTCTGTCTAGTCTCCCTCTGAAGGGAATGGGATTTTGAAGAGAGGTGATCATGGAATCTTTTCATGCTAAACTGGGAACCTAGATGGTTGTATTAGGTTTGCAGGTCCTGGGCTTCTCCCTAGCTGTAGAACATTGTTAATCTTTTAACATGCCATTTGGGATTTCTGATTTTGGCTGCCAGCTCACATCCTGCCTCCTCACGTTTAACCTCAAGCAAGGTTCTGAGAAAAGAAAAGTGTCAGTTCTCTGTTACTGGGACTATTAGCCACAGGCCATTATCTTCAGATAATTGTTGACATGGCTAATTTCAGGAACAGCCAGGCAATAATGAGGATTGCAAAAGCTTCCAGAACACTAAACACTTACTATGTTACAGTTTCTAATGACGTCATTCATATTTGAGCTTACCAATAAAAATTTGTTCCACAAGTCTAGGAATTTGAATCTTCCATGAAGTACTAAATTCCAATAGGCGATGGCCATTTCTAAGTCTATAAAATAAAACAAACCATCAAATTTAAAAACTCCTCCCATTTCCCCAAACACCAAAAATCTACAACACCACAATAAATGGGTGCTTATGCAGAAAAAGCTACAAATGTGCAATTCATTCCTCCCCTCCCATGACTCTACCTTGGCAGCTTTTTATTCTCTGACAAAGTCTGCTTTTTACTCCAAATTTTAGGGGTGGTTTGTCACCAGGCGAATGGCACTTTAGAAAATGATACTACGAAACACAAAAGAGCACACTTGCAGTCTTGCAGAACAGGGGCAGTATGCAGACCGTGACATACTGCTGCAGAAGAATATACAGTGGTGCCTCGCTTAGCGAGGTTAATCCGTTCCGGATTAACCCTCGCTCAGCGAATCCATCGCTAAGTGAAACAAAAAAGCCCATAGGAACGTATTAAAACTGATTTAATACGTTCCTATGGACTTAAAACTCACCGTTGTGCGAGTTTCCTCCATTGCGGCGGCCATTTTGGATGCCTCGTTAGCGAGGCAAAACAGCAGTCGCCATTTTGTTTTAGCGGCGGCCATTTTGGAACCGCCGATCAGCTGTTCGCTATGCTTTGATCGCGTCCGCGCGATCATCGCATAGCGAAAAAAGCCCATAGGGGCCATCGCTGAGCGAACGCTCCAGCGATGGCCCGGAACCCTTCGTTGTGCGGTTTCATCGCATAGCGAAGCGTTCGCTATGCGAGGCACCACTGTATTTACTTGGGAATCTTAGTGAACTGGTTTCAGTATGCAACAACCACATCTGAGGTCCAGCAATAGTTTAGGACTCTTGCCATGATTCTTCCTTTCTACATGGCTTACTTATTTGTGTATCAAAAAGTGTTGGTATACATACCTAAACCTTTCTGTCCTGGATTTTTTGCAAAGTTGAATGTAAACTGATAGAAATCCTTAAATCTTCCTGGCTCTTTCAATTCTTGTTCCATTTTAGGAAGCTGGGCCTTTAGTTTTTCTATGCTGTCACATCTGTATTTGTTTTAAAAAGAAGTGCATCTTCACATTAGTCAGGGTGTTACACCACAGGTTTAGAAATATTTTTATGTATTTATGACCGAACAGTTGCTTGAACAAAAGAGAATGTTATATTTATTTTGGTAAGGAAGTCGTCATATTTAATAATTTCTATTGTTCTCTTTTATATTTAATAAATAAAAAATACAAATTTAGACACACACTTGGTCAAATTAATGAGTATGATTATAATAGCCGATAAAACAAAAACAAAACACAACCAGGAAGGGGAAGGATTAGTCCCATATTAACGCTTTAGTCTACTTAGTCTGTAACTTACTTTGAAAACAGTTTCAGAAATTAGACTGTTTAAGTCAAAGAATCTGGCAGAAATCAGAGTATCCTGTGATTCTGAATACATTCTTTTAAATTTCATCATATGGTCCAGACCTTAGAAGTGAATTAAGACAGCACAACATAGGATTAGGTGGAAAGATTCCAGCCAGCCAATCAAGCCAACTTTCCCCTTTACTATGTTGTTTGTGGAATTGAGGATACTGATGTTGGCAACAGGAAATCAAAAGGGGTATGTGTAAAGATGTGAGTGCAAAATAGCAAATGGTAAGAGTCTAAGAGGTACTTCCCTATACAAATAAGATGTTGCTTCAATTACAGAGCCAGAAACCTCACCTTGAGGCACAAAACTGAGCTGTTTTCATATGGCAGCTGTGCACTTACCCTAGTTCTGTCATCCCATCCATGAATTCCACTTTTAAAAATTCACACTGCGTTGCAGCTCTGAACTTCCAGGCAATGATCAATACACTAATACTGGCAGGGTCAAGTGCAAGGTCATCACAAAACTGCTGAATACCATCTATGCCGATTTTATTCTCATCTTGAGGATCTTGGGGTTTTAAAATGAAATAAAATAAATTAAAACCAGTGCCTTTTTAAAAAAGAATCTATTTCTACTAACAGGAATACAGCTAGCACACTGTTTCAAGGCAAACAGCATATATTCAAACCCACTTGTTACCCCAAAGTGTGTTCAGTCCTGACAGCTGCTTTCATAGAATCATAGAGTAACTGAGTTGGAAGGGGCCTATAAGGCCATCAAATCCAACCCCCTTTAACAAAGCCTTTTAGAATGTGTCAAGAAACTTCCCAACTCTTGTCAAGCCTGCAGTTACAACTATTCTGTATGATGGGCAAATTATTTCTACTTCCAAGAAGAAATAGAATTTATCACTTGACATACCTTGGTCAAAGACACAGTCTAGGAATAGAGAGTATATGATAAATGATTGCTAGAGATGTTTGAGGAGTTTCTCTTTTGGTTCAAATACTGGATAGGGGATTCTGGGAGCTGTAGTCAGAAAGTAATCTTTCCAACCTCTAATCTAGAAATGGTTGACTGGACAGCTCAACAAGCCAGTTCTCTGGCTGCAGAGCCAGCGGCCGGGGTTAATTCCCCACTGGCTCTCCCAGGAGTAAAGCTCGCCAGTGTAGCCTTGGGCAGGCTACACAGCTCCCGGTCACCCAGAAACCCTAGTTGTGAGATAAAGTGATTAAGATCAAGTCTGACCATGATACATCTTTGAGGCTAAGCAACTGAACTACAACTAATCAGGAAGTTATTAGTTCACATTTTTACCAGAAACCTCTTATGGAGCCTCCTTTTCAGTCCCAAACACCCATCTGCAATGTGGAGATCATATTTATCTATCTTATAGCATTGTTGTAAAAAATATATAATATAATGGCCACAATCCTGTTGCTTCACAGAGTAAATCACATTAGAGTAGGCCCACTGAATCAATGGAGTTTTGGTGAATCAACTTCTCCATAAGTTTCATTGATTCAAATGCGACTACTCTAGTTGTGGCTTGCTTTCGCATAGCACACTGCAGTTAAGAGTGCGCACATTTGAATCAACAGAATGTATGGAGGAGTCAACTCACAAAATGTCCACTGAATCGATGGGCTTACTCTAGTTCACTTTACTACACTAAAAACAGGATTTTTGCCACTTGCATAGGTACAATCATAAGTAGAGATGGGGGTATTCGTATACAAATACAAATATCCCCACAGAGGTGGTGTTAATGAGGGTCCAGCCCCATGGGGCCGGACGGTCCACTCACCGATCCACTGCAGATGTGGACGGCGCGATTCTACCAATGGTGCCGCAGCGTGCAATCAGCTCGCCACTCTTCGACCTTGCAGCAAGACTTGTCCTCCCGCCTCCTGCCAGGAGTAGCGAGTGGATTGTGCACTGCACAGCCATTTGTAGAATCGCGCCGTCCGCATCTGCTCCAGATCGGTGAGTGGACTGTCCAGCCCTATGGAGCTGGACCCTCATTAATGCCACCTGTGCGGGGATATTCATATTTGTATATGAATACACCCATCTCTAATCGTAAGTCTTAGAATGATTATCCTAACAGTTAAAATTCCCCTTGCCACCTGTAATAAACATTTTTCCATGCAATGAGACACGGTTTTACCCTTCCTCAATTGAGGATCCACAGGCCAGGCCAGCAGATACAATGTAATATTGCTGGTTTTCCTCAGGTTCTGTGGGAGTGAAAGTGGGACATTCTTCCATTGCAGAAAAGTGCCAAGACTGAGGGAGTGGGATAGGCAAATCCAGAGGGAAGGACTTGGCTGTTAAAGTCATTTTACTTAATAGGCTTTGCAGTTAGTCATTTGCCAAGGGGCAAGACGTTTCTTCTATGCATTTCTTCCAGGGTACTGTTGCTCACACACTTTCAGACATCAATTCCCATGCATTGGGATCTGAAGGGCATATTTTCTATATTGTGTAGCACATACGATCAAGGACAGGAACTTACATATCTATTAACTGTAACCACTGTTAGTTACCTGGATCCATTGGTGTATTATGGCCATGAAACAAGCCATTCCAAGACACCATACTGGTTTTGATACGGTAAATTAAAGAAAGTGGGTAGAGTAGCCCAAATCACCACTGAAAAACCAGCAGGGTATAGGTGGTCAGACCCAGAAGGTCTGGTTCAAGTCTAGTCTTGGACATTAAGATTACTAAATTGCGTCAGGCAATCACCATCAGCCTAATCTCACAAGTTTGTTAAAATAACACAGCAGGAAGAAATATGTCTGCCAACTAGTCCACTAGAGAAAGAATGGGATGAAAATATCATAAACCACAGAATAGAGAAGTTTTGATCTTTCTAAATATACAATTCTCCTCCTACTGATCTTTGGGCTCAAAGATCACTTGGGCTCAAAATGAATTGCAGGTTTCTCAACTAGATTCCAGAATCTATAGATACATAATACAAGCAAGAATTAAAAAGCACACAGTACTCACCTTTATATCTGTTGTATAGCTGTTCTAACTTCTTTCTGTCCAATGAGCCCTTAACATTTTCTCGTATATATAGTTCAGGATTCTGAAAAAAGTTATCTGTTGCAACATCTAACTTCCAGTCATTCTGAGACAGACAATTCACTGCGGTCTTTTCGCTGGACTGTGTAAAGATCATAAACTGCCGAACTTTATCCTTCTGTGATGACTTCAACTTGTTCTACAAAAATATGAAAAAACAAAACATTGAGATTTTACGTGCTCACCCAAGGTGGAAACCTAATTTCCTCTTAGAACCAAAAAGGGCAACTTAAGCTTCACAAGTAATTAATAACATATCAGAAAAAGTTTAAGGTAGATATATAGATAATCCATTTGAAAATCCTTATCATGCCCAGTTTCTTTTTATTTAATCATTTATGAGATAATACAGTACTGCTTAATCAGGTACAAAACAGTTCAATCACCCATAAACTCTATGTGATGCTTCCCCATGCCATTTGAAATGGTCAGCAATTTGATCTACAGACTTGCCCAGTTCCTTTGTGATAGGGAAGCAGAGCAGCCCCCAGAAAATTTATAGAGATTTCCCAAAGGCTCCAAGGCACCACTAAGAAAAGAACAGTAACTGTGAAAGAAAGGAACACACAGACATATAAGTTTATTACTTATTTTCCTTTTGGGGAAGCTAAACCGTGGTCTGGGGACATTGCATGAGAGTTGTATAGAGGAAAACCTACTCCAATTTTTTTTAAAAAAACCATACACACTTAACAGTGGGTGTACAACACCAACAGTTTCTATTTGAGCAGTTTTTGCACCAGATCAGCCAAATCACTGAGTGAGACTCAGGAAAGCTAAACAAAGTTCTGTCGGGGAGGTGCAGAGAGTAGCAATAAAATAATAATGATTAAAAAACAATGTAAACATGAAGGAGCATGCAAAAAGTGCTTGTGTATCTCCCTTCTGATCACCTTTGTAGGAAACTAAGAACAACCAAAGAAGTGGATTTGTCCACAAAAGCTCACATTAAGATACAGCAGCTAGACGAAGGTGCCACAGTGTTTTTGTCTTCTTCTTCTTCTTTGATTTATACCCTGCCTATCTTGTTTTGTTTTGTTTTTGCCTGACATGCTAGCATAGACTAACCTCTTTTAAAGCTTCAAGGAAGTGACACACTGAGGACTCCAACGCCAACAATACCTAATGAGATGGATGAGTCAGAGTATTTTTTAGGGTGGCGCTACACATTATGGCCAATACAGAAAGGCTGCTGCAAAACAGCCATACTAACGCTTCTTCACTTCCTATTATACTGTGTGGCTACATTATAATGCTGTCATTTACCACATTCTCCTGCACTTGTTAGTGATGTCATGTGAGGGTAGGGAAGCACTCCACACAATATCATGTCTGTGTATGTCACAGGGAGAGAGGAAGAACGAACTAAATTCTGTTTTGGACAAACATTTTGTGCAGTTCAGCAACCTTAGCTACTCTGAATCACTTTCTGTGGGCCAAATTCAACTGTTTCTTCCAAATACAGTAGACCCATGGAATGAATGTGATGCGTTACGTTAACACTTATATAAATCCTAGTGACTCAGTAGGTCTGTTCTAGTTGGGCCTAACAACTGGATGTAGCCAAGTGGGACATCTATTCAAATATCTGTAACCACATGAAAAGTGCAGCACATTAACCTATAAAGGAAGGCTGAGGACAACATAGTACTATGTTCTTAAGTAATCATCAATTCTATAATGCAAACAGATGGCTACAACTGATATGCAATGAATACCACAGATGGAAAGATCATACAAAGAAGTGAGAAAAGACCTGAACAAGACTTTCCTCAATTACAGGTAATGAGAGTTTACAAACAATGGAGTCCTGTAATAAACATGATCTTAGTTACAAAGTGTACAGGTTTTCTTTCTTTCCTTTTTTTTTCTCACTACAAAATATATAATGTAAGATCCAATATTTTCCTACTTCTCTAACCATAATGCCTCCAGACATCAATTATAACATAAATACACTTAACTGGGCTTAGATTTAGACTTGATAAATCCTCCACTGTGCTAGTCACTTCCCAACAAACTGGGTGTTGATACGAAATTAGATGATAAATTAATATTAACAAAACATCCTGGGTGTGTACTTTAAAGCCAAAGTTAAATGCATTCAGACACATTAAGTAGTTCAGGAGCTTCAGTATACTCACTGTACTTCCTTAAGATTCTTACATGATATTTTAATGAAAGCCTCAACAACGTTGCTGAGACAATAAATAACCAGGAAGTGCTTAAATCCCATCAGGAAGAAAATAATATATAAATAGTAAACATAGTAAACTAAACTAATACGGCTTAAATATTGAAACTACTACTATTTGAAGTCCTGTATTTTGAAAAAAAAAACATAAAGAAATTTTGGGCATTTCAACCTATCAGATTTTCCAGAATATCTTTTTGCCATTTATTTGAATTTCTAACAGCAAAAAATGGAGTGGAAATGAAAGACTATGTTTAACTTGCCTTTTAAAATTTAGTCACATCATAGTAGCTGGTTGGATAGCTCAGTGGTTTAGGTCTCTGGCGGCAGAGCCAAACACTGTGAATTCAATTCCCCAATGGGCCTCCAGAGAGAAAAGTCAGCCTGTGTAGTCATGGGCAAGCTGCACAGTCCCAGGGCACTTACAGAAGAAGGGGATGGTAAACCACTTCTGTGCATTGTCTTTTAATGATGTAAGCCACCTTGGGTCCTTTTTAAGGAGAAAGGTGGGGTTAAAAAATATCTTAAATAAATAAAATTGTCTTCTCAACCTAGAAACGTAGAAACCAGGGGCATGGTGGCGCTGTGGGTTAAACTGCAGAAGCCTCTGTGCTGCAGGGTCAGAAGACTAGCAGTTGTAAAATCAAATCCACGCGACGGAGTGAGCTCCCGTTGCTTGTCCCAGCTCCTGCCAACCTAGCAGTTCGAAAGCATGCAAATGCAAGTAGATAAATAGGTACCACCTAGGTGGGAAGGTAACGTTTCTAGTTGCGCTGGCCGCATTACCATGGAAACTGTCTACGGACAAAACGCTGGCTCTACGGCTTGGAGACGAGGATGAGTACTGTGCCCTAGAGTCGGACATGACTGGATTAAATGTCAAGGGGAACCTTTACCTTTACCTAGAAAACCCTGGAAAGACCGGGTCGCCATAACTGACTTAACAGCATTATTATTATTAGAAACACAAATGTGAACGGACCACTCAACTCCATCCTAACTACAATTACTTGAAAGTGCCTTGTAGGGCTAAACCCAGCTGTTGTTCTCAATGAAAAGCGAAACCCATTGAATCAGCTGGATTTACATAATGACAGTTTATCGAAGTCTTAAGCATCCTGATTTGGAGACAAGTCCCACTGAAACCAGAGGGGATTATATTTGAATATAAATGGTACTAAGATTATATTATAATAAAAATAAATATACAAATAGAAACACACACATGCATAGAATCATGTGGTACTTCAAAGTAAGCTTTTTTGTGGCATTAGGTATTTGTGGACTAGATCCCACTTCCATCAGATGACTGTAAGATTATTCTTCAACTGACTGGGTTCATTCTACATATCTGTGTGTACCCATACACACAACTCTATCACACACAAGTGCTCAAATGCAGATGATAGCATAGCAGTTCTGTGAAAGGTAAACAAGACCAGAATACAGTGACATCATTTAGTAATGATAGTATCTCTGTAGGTGTATGATGCTGATTTAATACATTTAGAGGGAAGAAAATAATGTCCCTGGGAGGAAACCGAATAAAATTTAACTTCTTGATACAGTATATTCTACTAGAGCAATTTCATACCAAAGCCACTCCTGTTTTTTGCTTTGTTTCTGGTAAAACCACTGTGACTTTGAGATGAGTAACAGAACATCCTGAATCATTTCTATTTTCTCCAACTGACTTCTGAATGTAACCATTATGGGACTATGTTTTATTTCTCTTTTGTAGCAAATTACCTATGTCTAGACAGAAAGGAGGTGATATCTGGAGGTCCCTGAAGGAATTACCTGTTATTTCAGAATGAGAGAAAACACAAGGTCTAAAGTTATCAGTACAGCATAAGCGTTTGGGTTTGCTGGAGGCCTCAGCCCCTTGGTAAGAGCATCTTTTAGGTGACCCACAGATGCTGGTCAGCAACTACAGGGTATTAAAAAACCTGTCTGCAAACACAGAGTCTAATTCTCTGTCTCATATATGTAACTCTGGATAAGTTCTTGCTGGAAGTTGAAAATGACAATCAACATTTTGTCACTTTCCCCAGCCATCTCCTTAGGCAGTTTCTGGGTACCGATCCGATTCTTCAGTTCATTCTTCACGCATACTGTTGTTTTCACAATGCCTGCTGCAAAGCAGACCTGGAAGGTCCGACACCTGCCAACCCAGCACAGCCTGAGGAACCGGCTACACTTGAGAAGAGTTATCTGCCACAACAAAAGAGAGGGTACCTTTTGCAGGTGTCTTAGAGGTCTCTTGGCAACACTGATGGGCAAAGCTCCCCTCCTCTAGAATCTCCCTATAGGAAAAGAGACAGACATGCCGGCGAGACCCTACCACGCCGGCTCTCCCCACCTTGGCTGCCCAGATGTTCTTGGGTTGCAATGCCCAGAAATCCTGGCCAGCCAAAGCAGTCTGGGAACATCTGGGGAACCTCTGGGGACCCAAGGTTGGGAACCTCTGCCCTACAAAAGCCTAGCGAAACAGACCATGGAGGATCCCTCCAGGAGGAGGGGAACAAGAGGCACAACGGGGGAAGAAGGCCAGAGCAGCAAAAAGTCATGCAAGCAGCACCCCGCAAACTCCAGGAGCCCCTTTCGAAAAGACCAGGGCCCTCCGTCCCAACCCGTATAGCCAAGGGGCTAGTCCTCAATGCAAGTGGGCCTCTCTCACACACACGCGCGCGCGCGCGCCAACACCGACTGACAGCCCGCCTCTAGCCCCAGAAACCCTCCACGGAGGCGGCCCTACTCTCTTCCCACAGTCCTCCACCCCCCATCCGAGGAGGAAAAGACCTTCTTCTCCCGCCCGACCCCGAAGCCCAGCGGCCTGCCCTTCTCTCTCTC